GTATTATTGCATGCGCTCCTCCTTGGTGTCAAAAATTCTGTATACTTGGTTCACCACCAGCTAGGAGTCGCACTTTATTTCGATGACCTCGGAACCTAGTCCCCGAGTTAGTTCAAGTCCTGCAACTAAAGTCTCGTACTGGGCTTCATTGTTAGTTAATGGCATGTCTCGGGGTTTCCCCCGAAGGAGTGATTAATACTACCCTGAGACCGGACCCTTTTATGTTGGAAGCTCCATTCGTAAACAAGGTCCAAACTCTTGATACCATTCCCGATACCAACACTGCTCTTTAGCATCTAATAGAATTAATCCCGGACTAAAATCGACCACAAAGTCGGCCAAAACTTGTGACTTGATTATAGTCCTAGGCTTGTATTCAATGTCGAATTCACTAACTTCGACTGCCCATTTAGTCAAACGACCTGACAACTCAAGCTTATGAAGTACATTCCTCAAGGGAAAGGTTGTCACAACGGCTATAGGATGACATTGAAAATAAGGACTAAGTTTTCGATAGTCAACTACGAGAGCTAAGGTAAACTTTTCAAGGTGTGGATATCGTGTCTCCGCTCCCGATAATATTTTACTAACATAATAAATGGGAAATTGCATACCTTCTTCTTTCGGACCAAAACGGCACTTACCGCTACTTCCGATACCGTTAAATAAATCAACATTTGCTCACCTTCTTCTAATTTTGACAACTACGGAGGGCTAGACAAGTACCTCTTTAGATCTTTCATTGCCTGTTGGCATTCCGGAGTCCACACAAAATTGTTCTTCTTTTTCAAAAGTGAAAAGAAGTGATGATACTTCTCCGAAGACCTCAAGATGAACCTGCTTAAAGCCACCAATCTACCGGTCAACCTCTGTACTTTCTTCAACTTGTTAGTTGGTCCGAGATATCCTCGATTGATTTGATTTTATCAAGGTTTACTTCAATTCCGAAGGAGCACTTTTTCGGGTTGAGCTTCATGTTGTATTTTCTCATTATGTCAAACGTCTCTTGGAGATGTTTCAGATGATCTCCTGCATTAAGAGACTTAACTAACATGTCGTCAATATAAACTTTCATTATCTTACCTATATGTTTTTCAAATATTTTAATAACAAGTCTCTGATAAGTGGCTCCAGCATTTTTAAGCCCAAAAGGCATCACATTATAGCAATATGTGCCAAAATTTGTGATACAAAGTAGTCTTTTCTTGATATTCCGGGTCCATCCTAATTTGATTATACCCAAAATAAGCATAAAAAACTCATTAACTCATGCCCAGTCGTAGCATCAATCATTTGATCTATGTTTGACAATGGGAAAGAGTCTTTAGGGCATGCCTTATTTAAATCCTTATAATGTAAGCACATTCTAAATTTATTATTCGCCGGGGTAATTTACCTCCCGAATTGAACCTATATTCAGTAACCTAGTTACCTCTTCCATGACAAACCTATTCTTGACCTCTACTATCGGTCGTTTCTTTTGCCTTATCGGAGGGAAGTTAGGATCCAACCTCATCTTGTGAACAACCACTTCCATTGGAATACATGTCATATCTAAATGCGACCATGCAAAACAATCAACATTAGACTTTAGAAAATCCATAATTTGTAACCAGAGTTCGGGATTCAACCCTATTCCTAAGTGGAATTTTCTTTCCAAGAACTCTTTGAACAAGGCCACTTGTTCGAGCTCTTCTGCAGTTGATTTGGTTGCATCCGTCTCCTCCGGTACCTAAAAAGACCTTGGTACCTGATATAATTCCGATAAATCCTCTTCTTTATTATTTTCAATCGAGGTGGAAGGGGGCACCGATTTTGTAATTGCTATTTTCTCGTTTCATTGACCTTGCTACTGGAAACAGTCACTGTGTTCTGGTTGATCTCCTTTAATTTGTCTGATCCCTTTCGGTGTGGCAAATTTCAATAGCTAATGATATGTTGAAGGTACAACCTTCATTTCGTGTATCCATGGCCTCCCCAGGATCACATTATAACCCATGTCTCCATCTAATACTTCGAAAATGGTGGTCTTGGTTACTCCTTCGGCATGTGTGGGTAGCAAAATTTCTCCTCGGGTTATCACACTCGTTAAGTTGAACCCATCCAAAAGCTTTGTTACATGAACTATGTTTCCGTTCAGCTTTGCTTGCTCCAAAACTCTCCACTGCATGATGTTGGCTGAACTTCCTAGATCAACCAACACACGTTTAATTTTAAAATCTAAAACATTAAGAGAAATTACCAAAGCATTGTTGTGTGGTAGAAGAAGTCCATCAACATCTTGTTCTGTAAAGGTGATGACATCTTTTGAGACCTCTCGGATCCTCTTGACATGAGTCACTGATATCTTCGTCTTCTTTACTTCCAAAAATATCACCCCATTTACTTCATCTCCTCCGAAGATCATGTTTATCATCATTCGAGGTGACCATGCAGCCGGTTTTGATGGTTTTGCAACATCCAGGTTTCTCCTATAATTGTTCTTGGCACGATCACTTAAAAGCTCTTTGAGGTGACCATTCTTCAACAACGTTGCTACCTCTTCACGAAGATGCCGACAGTCCCGAGTCCTATGCCCATGAGTTCTATGGAATTCACACTATAGATTAGGATCCCTATGGCTAGGATCTGATCAGATTAGTTTCAGGAACCTAGCTTCTTTAATATTTCTCATAGCCGACACCAATTCTACCAAGCTGATGTTGAAATTATAGTCAGATAATCTGGGATATGTTAAATCTCGGGACCCCGATATCTCTTTCTCCTGCAACGATCTACTACCTTGACCTCGATCCGTCCTTCTATCGGAAGCGAACCTATCCATTGACTGAAAACCTTTATTTCTGCGTCCATCGGCCCTCTCGTAAGATTGAAATTGACTTCTAGAGGATCTCTGATCTACATCAAAATCATTTTTGAAATTATCTTGATTCCGATCATGATTTTGTCCTTTGGAAGACACCAAAGAACCCAACTGATCATCTTCTATTCTGATCTTTGACTCGTAGAGATTGTGAACATCTGCCCATGTGGTTGCGTGAAATTCTAACAAACTTTCCTTTAATTTTCGGGAGGCATCGGTGCTCAACGGATTGAGACCCTTTGTAAATGCCTCCACTGCCCACTGATCCTGTACCGCTGGTAACATCATCCTTTCCTTGTGAAACCGGATCACAAACTATCGCAACAGTTTGGATTCTCCTTGGATATCCTGAATATATCTGCCTTCCTTGCATGAAGCTTTCTTGTTCTAACATGAGCTTTGATAAACGCATCTGCAAGCATTTTAAAAGAATCAATAGAATGCTCACTTAAGAGAGAATACCAAGTTAAGAAACTCGTCGTTAGGGTTTCGCCAAACTTCTTCAACAAAGCAGATTTGATCTCGTGCTGGGCCAGGTTGTTTCCCTTTACTGCCGCAGTGTAGGCCGTGATGTGTTCCTGTGGATCCAAAATCCGATCATATTTTGGTATATCTGGCATCTATAACTTCTTTGAGATCAACTCCGGAGCCGCACTGGGTTTAAATGGAAATTGCGTATACTTCTTGGAATCCGGTCCCTTTAACACCGGCGGCGCTCCCGGGATCTGATCCATCAGAGCATGGAACTCTTTAGCTTTTTGGTCCATTCGTTCATTCGTTTCTCTCGTGAATCGTATGAGTTCGGATTTGAATGGGTCATTTATGTTGTTGTGGTTCCCATATCCACTTCCGGTGCCTCCTGCCTCGTCAAAACCGAACTCCTCCCTTGGACCGTTGTTACCGGTTCTTTGAACTGTTTCATTTCTAGGAACGCTGGGAGGAATCGGGGCTCTTCCATTGGCATTATTGGAAGCACCCGATAACACCTGTTTCAACTCTGTCATCACCTGATCTTGTCTTGAGAGGTGATCCGTAATTGCCCTTTGCTGCTCTCTTAGGATTTTGACCATTTCAGCAACGTGTTCATCATCCGCATCATTAGGAGTTGGACTCCTCACATGTTGAGGATTCTGACCTTTGCGAACTGGAGTTATTTCACCTCCTTCATTGCGGGTTTCGCTGGTTGAATTATCCCGCTGAAACACATCTTCACGTTCATTTTGTGCCCCAACATTGTAGACATTGTTGACATCATTAGCTGCCATATCTGATTTTTCTTTTGCTAAGAAAGGAACCAAAATTTGTTAGTAACAGATAAATGGATCAAATCAATTACACAATTGTCTATGCCCCACGATGGGCACCAAACTGTTTACCCATAAAACGGTACAGTTGAATTTGTAATGTAGTTTATAGATACATGAATTAATTCGATCCAGAAATATGAAATAAACAAGAGAAAAAATAAGATTATGAAATAAATTTAAAGGGAATACAAGCTTGGCTATGAACTTATCTCTCCAGTAACAAAAGCAAGAATAATGTTCAAGAATAAAGACAACGAATAGTATTATAAGGTAAAAGCCGACTTAAGCTTTTGTGTACAGAATATTTCATGCTAATTCTCCTATTTATAGCTCTATTTAGGGAGACAAGATCTCCAAATCAAGCTCCTCTTGAATGAGAATAAAACCGTCATTGATGGCTGCATAACGGTTGGCTGTAAATACAGATATTCTTTATAACATCTGCTCATGTAATGCTACCCGATGCCAATTTTTTAAATCTTTGTCATCGGCTACTTTGTCTTCGGTTCGGTTGCACGTGTCACCTCTTCATTCGTCCAACAGCCACTAACTATTACAGACTAGTCCCTCAACAATATTACGGCTAATGATTATGATCATTATTTGTGTATTTTCTTATTACTTAGAAGGATAAAAAACGAACTCACTCTCCATAACCAAATATAAATAAATGAAATAATCAATCAGTTGTCTCATAGTCTACAACTTAAAATCTGACATAGTTGTCACGTAATCACAACAGAAAAAGGGCAAATAGCTAAGTTGTCGAAGGAACCCAAAAGTAACTAACGGTTAGTATAATTTTACCTTTGTATATGTCAGCGGAAAGAAATTTTCTTGTTTTGACCTTCTCCTCCGACTATTCACGAGATCCAAAAAAGTAGTACGAAAAATTGTACAAGGAGGAGACAGAGCGACAGAGTTAAAAAGAGAAATAAAAAATGCACCTGTTCAATGCGGCGGCAGTTGTTCGAATGGCAACGAGGTGTCATTCGAACCCTGGCCTGGGGGCAGAAATAGCATTTGGGACGGTGTCATGGTTCCTCTACGCTGGTATCTCTTGTTTTTTAGTACTCTTCGCCGGCATTATGTCCGGTTTGACATTGGGCCTCATGTCTTTGGGTCTCGTCGAACTTGAGATCCTTCAACGAAGTGGCACCCCCTCTGAGAAAAAACAAGCTGGTATCTTCTATTTCATGAATCTATGTGGCTATGACATTTGCTCAGTGGTCATTTTCTTAGGACAGTGTATATCTGAAATGGGTGGATGTATGGTTCATGGGCTAATTGTAAATGCTGAAAATTATTAGGAAGAATCTTTACCAATATATCAACTTTTCTGCTTTTCCATCTTTTCAGCTACGATACTTCCTGTTGTTCAGAAGCAACATCAGCTTCTTGTGACTCTACTTCTGTGTAATGCTGCTGCTATGGAGGTAACCACTGGATACCTGTCTTTTTCATCCACTTTAGGATGTCTTCTATTTAACTTTGCAACCAAAAAAAATGGCGGACCAAAAACATGATGAAGGGGAGGGGGGGAGGTTTATGAGAAAATTTGGAGAGCTTCGTAAATCCATTTACACAGTATATATTGAGGTGTAAAATACCTGTACTTTTACCTAATCCAATATCCTAGACAGTGAGAGAGGCTTGGCGCAGGGGTGGGAGAAAGGAGTGGGGGCCAAGGGGAAACACGAACGAGAAGCTTTAGTAGTTAAATTGGAGCAATGGATTTGTATAAGGTAATTTAGATTCGAACTCATTTTTGGGACTGTTGTAGCTTACATACCCAGCAGCAGCACATATGATGTTAAGGAGGGAATACATTACCGATTAGAAATGAATCCTAAGAGATGTGATTCAAGTTGAATATACTTAAATTCAACCAATGAATTCAAATGAGAAAATGCATATAATTTTTCCTTTTTTACTTACCTAGATAAAATATGGAGAAAATGCTGTCTTTATATAACTTATTAGCTGCGGAGTATATGCTTGAGTATTGTAGTTGAGGAGGATTTGACCTTTACTTCGTTTTCCTTGTTGCTATTTTCAGGCCCTGCCTCTATACCTGGATAAGCTTTTCAACCAATATGTTGCCATTATACTATCAGTAACTTTTGTTTTGTTTTTTGGAGAGGTAAATTACACCACTGGACTTTAATCAGGATCTCAGCATTTAAGATCTATGAATATACTCTGATCCTCCGGCTATTTTTGTTTTTCAGGTTATTCCTCAAGCAATATGCACCAGATATGGACTTGCAGTAGGTTCAAATTTTGTTTGGCTTGTTCGTATTCTGATGATCATATGCTACCCAATTTCTTACCCCATCGGGAAGGTAATCGCTGCAGTCTTTAAGTAATTAGCCTAAAGATAAAGTATGTTATATGATATTTGCCTTGAAAATCATTGGAGTTCTCTAAGGAAGGGGCTCCAAAAGCAAAAACAATGCTGAAGTGATACATTTTGACTCGAAGGAGTGCCATTAATTCAAACATCCTGGATACCTTAATTCTTTTGACAACCTTCGTCTTCCTAGTGATTATGTGTTCAAGTACTTGGTTTGGAAAGAATGAGTATACCATGTTTAGAGGCATTTTAAATGATCTACCTAGTTGTTGGCTTGCTACACGGTTCAATTTTCTTTCAGAGCCTTGCTGTGTACAGAAATTAACTCTACTCTAGGTCATTGGAAAACACTTCCCAATGATTTTGAGAATGTCTATACAAGAAAAGCATGCAATAGTTATGAATTTGTTTGTCACTAAATATGGACATTCGGAGCTTAGCTGACCTGCCTTTGGATAAAAAAGAATATGTTCCTCGTACTCATAAATTAATCATGCTGTACATTCTTTTTTATCATTCTTATTGTTCTTGTCTTAGAAGTAGGTTTCCATTAGGACCAGATATTTGTAACTTTTGGATAATCAATATTGATGTAGTTTTTCCTATTCTGGTGGAGTTATATTTTCAGTTAATTGAATCTTTTTTGCCTCTATACTTATGGATATTATAACATGTCCCATCGCAGCCAGAAGTGTATGGTTTATCATTGATCAACATAATATTGACGGAATTTAGCAGATAGAGGTGTTTCGAATATTTAGATTAACAGCCTTGACTATCTAATTGAATATGGAAACTTCAGATCATGTTCCGACTTCTATGAAGTGCTTGCTCCAAGGTACTTTCAGCTAATGCAGTCCTCTTCAGTTGGACTTTGGATAGACCAGAAAGAACATGTTTGTGAAGTATTTTATTTAAGGATCACCAGATGCTCACTTGTCTTTAAGACTGCTGATGCTTCCTAGAGTCGCTGGACAATTTTGGGAAATGAAAATAATATATAGAAGAAGGAAGTTCCATACACTGCCATATCATATATTTTTCAAAATAATTATTCTAATACTACTTCTATGACGTTGCTCAGATCATCCTAAAATGCCACCACAACCGTTTTGGATCCTCCAAAATAGTGCATTTTTTGATGTTCCGACTCGGGTGCGGTTGCATTTTTGGAGGATCCTAGCAACTAATCTCGTATGGTTTGAACAAGTAGTAGAAGTACTAAAGTCCTATCGCGAGTCGCCTCTTCCTCTGCACTTTTGATTTAGCCAATGCTCTAGCAATTGTCATCTGAATGATATTGAGTTTGTCTGAAGCGAAGTTGATGTTTTCTGCTTGCACCATTTAATAAGTTGGAGGTGGCTTGTATCAAGAAAAGAAATTATATCTTTCTTTATCAAGCTACATTTAAACGGAGCTTTTGTGCCTCTCTATTTTCTGGATCTCTTGACGAAAGTGAAGTTCTCTTAAGTTCTTCAAAAATTTGGTTGGCCAGTTCTTTGAAATAGTAGAGCTTCTGACTTGATGTTGTGCCTTTGCAGATCCTAGACTGTGTATTGGGACATAATGAAGTACTATTTAGACGAGCTCAGTTAAAAGCCCTTGTCTCTATCCACAGTCGAGAGGTCTGTATTGTGTATCTTCAATTTGCAGCTTTGATATTTCTGCAAACTAGCCGTTAACATAAATGTAAGTTCCTTTAGATTTTCCGAAGCCTTGTTTTGTTAATTGGAATTTTCTTCAGGCTGGCAAGGGAGGTGATCTTACACATGATGAGACAACAATCATTAGTGGAGCACTGGATTTAACTGAGAAGGTAGTGATAATGATACTGCCATCCTTGATATGCTTTTCACCCTGCATGCCTGTTCCCATAGGCCATAGATTCTGATGACCTAAGGTTTTAGGAGTCAGTAATGCTTGGCCCTTAAAATTCTCCTGTTTCCCTGTTGTTTTAATTTCTATAGACATAATAACTTTATGAGAAGAGACTTTTGATCAGCTTTTTGCTTAACAAAAATGATCAATGTCCTGAGATTCATGATTCATTTACACATAGCTGAAGTCCGGTGCAGTACCAATTAGTTGGGAATATATCTCATTCATGTTAATAGGTTTACTTTTGGTCATATGCTTTTTAGGAGTCATTTAACCCTATTGGAGATACTAATGTCATTAGGAGATATAGAGAACTTCTTAAGACTGAGGCGTAGTTGTTGGGTTGTTGCTGTATTATTCCAGACTCTCTCACCTTCTCTGTCTTTTGAAATTTGGTAACCTGGAATTTGTTGGTATGACGAGCGTCTCTCTCTCTCTCTCTCTCTCTCTCTCTCTCTCTCTCTCTCTCTATTTATCTCCTTTTTTGTTTGCTATTGATAGACTGCTGAGGAGGCTATGACACCCATCGAGTCAACATTTTCATTGGATGTCAATTCAAAGCTGGACTGGTGAGTGCATTGCTGTTAGTATGAAATGTTTCTGTAATATTCAAACCAAGTCTTCTGCTCTTCACGTTTATGCAAAGCTTCTTGGTTCTCAAAAAATGAGGTGGCACTTTTTATGAAATTTTCCAAAAATTGATCTTGCAAACTAAGTTTTTAAACAATTTGTCATTGGGAATTTTGGTACAAAAAGTTAACATTTCTTTTAAGATTTCCAGAAGTTTCTCAATCTTTCAAAAATAAAAAATTACAACTGGAAATAATCCTTATGATTTGCTTCCATATCTGATAGAAAATATGAAAAAAGTTCCAGACTCTAGTGATATGAGACTATCTAGCTTGGTTCGGAGAGCACTTCTTGGGTTAATTTTTCTTTTGTTTCTAAAATTACGGCCTAAATGTTGAACTGTTGACCCTATTTGTTCGGGTAGGTGTTCACCCCAAAGTATCCAGGACTACATGCATACAACCCTAAGTAACTTATAGCCTGTTTGGCCAAGCTTCAAATATCACCTTATTTTTTGAAGTGCTTTTTCCAAAAGTACTTGTGGAGAGAAGCAGTTTGTATTTGGTAATTAATTTAAAAAGCACTTCTGAGCAGCAATTAGTGTTTGGCCAAGCTTTTAAAAAGTGTTTCTAAGTGAATTTTTCTCAAAGGTGCTTTTCAAAAATGTGCTTTTGGGGAGAAACTACTTTTTTGTACTTCTCCAAAACTGTTTCTGCTTCTATTCAAAAGCACTTTTTTCTTCTTAAAGTTTGGTCAAACACTTTAACTTTAAAAAAAAATATTTTATTTTTGACAAAAAAATGCCTTTGGCTTTGGAGAAGCTTGGCCAAACATGCTATTAATAGAATATGAAAAATCTCTTTTGGAGGAATCAGTAAAGAAAAGACAGTGGGCAAACGACATCACAATCTGTATTTTAAGAGATTATATCAGGCAGTGGAGTGACCACGTGTACTTAGCTTTTTAGTTTTTGAAAGATTTGAAAAGCTGAATTTGGAATCTTCAAAAACAAAGCCCAAACACACATTTTTCAAAAACTCGACTGTATCTGGGAACTCAAGTTTTGAGACGACAACAACAACAACATACCTAGTGTAGTCCCACAAGTAGGGTCTGGGGAGGGTAGAGTGTACGCAGACCTTACCCCTGCCTTTAGAAGGCAGAGAGGCTGTTTCCGGAAGACCCTCGACTCAAGAAGGAAAAAGTAGAGGGGCAATACAAGCAAACCAATCTGACAACCGAAGCGAAAGTACAAAACTTACACTAAATAATGCAATCAGAAAGAAACAAAGGCAACGCCAAGTAATAACAGAAGTCTAGGGATATGAAAAAACACAAAGGACACTAAATGATGTATCAAAGTTACTGCTACAAACAAGAACAACACTCGGCTACCTTACCCTTTACGTTTATACTCAACCTCCACACCTTCCTATCCGTGGTCATGTCCTCAGTCAGTTGGAGTAGCGCCATATCTTGCATAATCACCTCCCCAATACTTATTCGGCCTGCCTCTGCCTCTCCGGTAGCCCTCAAACACCAGCCTCTCACACCTCCTTACCGGAGCATCAATTCCTCTCCTCTTCACATGCCCTAAGTCTCGCCTCCCGCATCTTGTCCTCCACAGGGGCCACGCCCACCTTGTCCCGGATAACTTCATTTCTAATTCTATCTAACCTGGAATGCCCGCACATCGATCTCAACATCCTTATCTCGGCCACCTTCATCTTCTGGACATTGGAGTTTTTGACTGACCAACACTCTGCCCCATACAGCATAGTCGGTCTGACCACCGCTTTATAGAACTTACCTTTAAGTTTAGGTGGCACATTCTTTTCACACAATACTGGAAGCGAGCCTCCATTTCATCCATCCCGCCCCAATACAATGTGGGACATCCTCGGTGATATCCCCATTCCCTTGTATAACAGACTCAAGGTACTAATTTTCTCTCTTAGGAATGACTTGGGAATCCAGCCACACATCGCCATCCGCTTCCTGAGTCGCGCCACTGAACTTGCACTTCAAGTATTCAGTTTTGGTCCTGCTCAACTTGAAACCTTTAGACTCCAGAGTCTGCCTCCAAACCTCCAACCTCTCGTTAACCCCGCCCCGCGTCTCGTCAATCAGTACAATGTCATCTACAAATAACATGCACCACCGCACCTCCCCTTGAATGCCGCGTCAGCGCGTCGATCGCCAGGGCAAACATGAATGGGCTGAGGGCTGACCCCTGATGCAACCCCATCACAGCCGGGAATTGTTCCGAGTCCCATCCCACTGTCCTTACCCGAGTCGTAGCTCCATCGTACATGTCCTTAATAGTCCTATTGTATGCAACATGAATGCCTCTAGCCTCCAAACATCTCCACAACACCTTCCTCGGCACTTTATCATAAGCTTTCTCTAAGTCAATAAACACCATATGTAAATCCCGCTTCCTCTCCCTATACTGCTCCATCAACCTCCTAACAAGGTGAATAGCTTCTGTAGTCGAAAGCCCTGGCATAAATTCGAATTGGTTCTCAGAAATAGACACAATCCTGCTCACTCTCAGCTCCACCACCCTCTATAATAATTTCATAGTATGGCTCAGTAGCTTGATACCCCGATAGTTGTTGCAATTTTTCTGAAATTTTTAGAAACTTCAGAAAAAGAAAAAAAAACACAACCTTAGTTTCAAGACAAGAGATTCTTCTGTAAATATTTTCCACTTTTTACGTTTTGTGCACACCCTTTACACTCTTACGATGTGGCTGGACTTACTGAGGTCAAGCACTTTACAAGTACCGATGCTGACCAAGTGTCTGTGCGTGGTTGTCATACTTGAATTGATAGTTAACTTCTCAAAAATGTTTGATCAGTTCTAATGATTAAAGGATACTTTTCTTTGCCCCTACATGCATGTGATATTTGGTGAACTATGCATAGCCATAATGCTTAACAAGACTAGTTTTTTTCTCTTCCTTTGGGTTGGTTGCTGGGTATTTAAATGAAACTTAAAAGGAGCTTTTGCCAATTGAACATTAGATGTTTCTTTCAGAAGAAATGAATGCTCTTTCTCTTTGAGCTTTATGTTCTACCTCCATGATGCCCCAGGGCTTTGGTTTGCTGGTAAGAGCGTAACACATGATGTGTGAGTTAGGCGCTTGTCATGGGTTCAAACCCTGCGTAGACAAAAGCTAAGTAAAGAAGGGTAAAGGGGTAGGCCCATTATCCACCAAGTTTCGGACTGTGTGCCACTGGCTTCCCCGTTATCAAAAAGAAAAATATACCTTCATGATAGATTTTCTTTTTTAAAATAAAGAATTCTCTTAAGGCAAATGTTTGTGGATTTCTAGCACGCCATGGTTAGCTATCCTTGAGTTATTGCTTCAGAAGAAGTTTCAACTTCTTTTTTTTTTTACTTCTCAAAATGTTGTATGCATAATAAAGTAAAAGCAACTATTCAGTACTTGACTTTAAATCAGGTATGTTATCTAGATTATGATTTCTAGTAGTCGACTTACACATTATCTTTTCCTGACTGCAGGGAGGCAATGGGAAAAATTCTTGCTCGGGGTCATAGTCGTGTTCCTGTCTACTCTGGCAATCCAAAGAATGTTATTGGACTTCTACTTGTGAGTTCTGAATTCTCACCATCTGGGCAAGTTTTAATTGTAATCTTGCTACTTTTTTCAAGTGATCATTTTGAAACTAATGTTAGGTAAAAAGTCTTCTGACAGTACGGGCCGAAACAGAGACACCAGTTAGTGCAGTTTCTATTCGCAGAATTCCACGGTAATTTTTAATTGTCCACGGGCTGTCTTTTGCATGTATGAACTAATATCCTAACATCATTGTTTGTCATACATCTTACCAGTGTTCCTGCTGATATGCCGCTATATGACATACTAAATGAGTTTCAGAAAGGTAGCAGTCATATGGCTGCAGTGGTGAAGGCTAAAGGGAAAAGCAAAAAGCCTCCCTCAGTAGTTGAGGAACAGAAGTCTGAAGACAATGAAGTCACCAGTGAAGCTGCTCCTCTTCTGATGAAAAAGGATGGAAAATCAGATAATGTCGTCGTTGATATTGAGAAGGCTACAGTGCCAGCAGCGATAAGCACACCAACATCTGGTGATGCAGTGACAAATAGTGTGGCTCATTCATTAGATGATATTGAGGATGCTGAAGTTATTGGTATTATCACCTTGGAAGATGTATTCGAAGAATTGCTACAGGTAACTCTTTGGGGTTATGGATTTCTAACTCTCTCAAACAGTTGTCTATAACGAATGGAACTTACATTTTAGAAACTTATCACTGGTGCAGGAGGAAATTGTGGATGAGACCGATGAGTATGTTGATGTACATAAAAGGTGCTTGAGAATCAGAAACCTTAATTTCACCTTATCTGTATTATTGCTATTGAAGAACAGATTGTAAAATTTCTCCTATTTTTACAGGATTCGTGTGGCAGCAGCAGCAGCTGCTTCATCAGTAGCACGAGCTCCATCAATCCGGAGGTTGACAGCCCAAAAGGCAGCTGTAAGTACACATTATGGATGTATTTATACGACTGTCCTGATAGATGTAAAATTCTTGAAAGTCAAGAATCCACGTAAATTATTTCTACAGGCACGAACTTGAATTGCGCAAATCTGGAATCACATTCTGACATCATCTGATGGTAATATTATTTAAACGTCTCCACTGCATGGGCAAAGAGTTGTCTGTGTACACCTTATTCAATCACATGGTATACACAAATAGTTTTACGACTGTTGCATACCTCTCATTCTCAAGTAGTTATTGGCCTATTTTACCATTATCACGTAAAAGTCTTTGTGAAGTGGACAAATCGGTGAGGGGCGGAAGCCGGAAATTCTCAAAGTTGCGTCGCAGATTAGTGCGCACAATAAATTGTGGCACGTACTAAGGGTTCATATAAATCCTGAGTGGAATAATTTTGAGATGCTTTATTCCACTCAAGATTTGTATGCTTTAGTATTAGTATTAATTACTGCGACGAACTGAAGCACTGTTCTCTTTGATTCTCTTCTAGTTACATTTGTTATTAGAGTTTTAATGATGATAAGAGAGGGAAAATACTATGTTTCTTTTTTTATGAGTGTGACGTTTTGTCTTTTATTGTGGACAGAAGCTGCTTTCTTATAATGGCTAACGTTTATTATTGGATTTCTCAGGGAGGCCAAAGTAAACAAGGACAACCACCTAAGAAGTCCAGTGAGGACATTTCTAGCTCTAGAAGGATACAAGAGAATCTTGAAGAGCCTCTTCTTGAGAACAAGGCTATGAGATCATATGAGCCTTCTAAGAGGCTCTAAAATTTTGCAATCTGATTTATAATTTTGTGAGAATATATTTCTTTTATGCGAAAACTTCCTTATTGTCCATAAATTTCTCAGGTTTATTAATGGGATAAATTCACAAATACCTATTGAAGTCAAAATAATTACCCTTCCTCTACCTATTAAGAATCCTACCCATTAAATAATTACCATTATACCTATTTTAGTGCCCAACTCCTACATCAGCCATCTAACCTCTATTTCCTCTTTTTTTTTTTTCTTTTTTTTTTTGTCCTTTTTTCTGTTTCCTTCTTTTCTTTTCTTTTCTTTTTTTTTTCCTTTTTTTCTCTTTTTCATTCCATTCATTTTTTTCCAAACTATATTTTTCTTTTTATCTGTTACGACCCAAAATCCTAACCAATCGGGACCGTGATGGCATCTAACACCGCTTGCTAGGCAAGCCAATGCACAACTGAAAGATACAAAAGAATTGCAATTAACAACTTACAGCAAGATAATAATATAGTATAAAAGCAACTCGAAAGTATTCATGATAAGTCTAAGATCAACACTAACGTTCAACCATCCCAAGACGTGGAGTCACAAGTACATGAGCTACTAGAGTTTACTAAATACAGTTTTGAAAGAAATATAATACTGTCAGAAATGTAGAAACAATACAATAGAAATAGGAAGATGACTCTAAGGCTTGCGAATGGAATGCAGCTCAATCTCGAATCACCTGACTGGTATCCGCTAAGCACCTCTCGGGAATCCGCCTTTACTAATGTCTAGATCTGCATAAGAAGTGCAGAAATATAATATGAGTACAACCGACCCAATGTACTCAGTAAGTATAGAGCCTAACCCCGACAAGGTAGTGACGAGACTAAGACAAGATACCTATAATAAACCTATGCAATTATATATCAAGAAGTAACAAAATAACTGGTAAAATATCAAGTATAATAACGGGATAACAAGTGAAAGGGATAACAAGTACACAAGTAAAGGGGCTTAAAATGGGAAAATAATGTAAAGCGTCACTAAGTAAGCCACAACTCGTAGTTTTACAACATCTATAAACAATCTTTCAAAATTAAATAATGAAGCCACAAAGCCATGTCCATAATCCGAATATCAAAGTAAGGGATAATAAAACTAACAAAAGGCACGGCATCACCCTTCGTGCTTTTACTCTCATCCTCACATCATATTATAATAGCAACCACAGAAACACCATTTGTGCATATCCTCACTTTCACTCAAGCAAGGAAACACCCTTCGTGTAATGATATCAACATATGAATAAAGCACGGAAACACCCTTCGTGCACAATCATTCTTCCTCATAAGCACGACAACACCATTCGTGCATTTCAGTCTTCCTCACCAAACATCACATACAACACAATACCAAGAAAGGTAGGAAGCATATTCAACATCAAAGATAATATTTGAACACGACTCGTCATATGAGAAATTACTTTTAGTACCAACAACCAAATCAACAATTCAACGATCTCAACGCCTAATATCTCTTTAATCTCACATAGTAAATAACATGAGTGCAAGAAATCAAAGAATGATACAATCTATCTAAAGCATGGCAGACATAATACATAACGTAACATGGCACAAATAGGGCTAATACTACCTGCATGCTTATCCCATGGCCAACGCATATACACTCATCACCTTACATATACGCCGCCCCCAACACGTAGATCACATAGCAAATAGACTCGATTATATCCTATTTCCTTCAAATCAAGGTTAACTAAAACAATTACCTCTTTCTAAAACAAGATCAACAATCCAACGCGGCTTTTTCTTTAGAACAAGCCTTTAAACTATCCGTATCTAATCAATTATTATTCAAACAACTCAAAACAAGATTCAAAAACTACCCTCGAATGAAAAATGTTCGATCTTTACATAATTGAAAAAGCCAACAAAAAGTCAATCCGAGACCACGTGGTCGGAATTTAAATTAAGACCAAATCCCGATTACTCATCCACCACCGAGCCCGAATATGTGATTTATTTTCAAATCCGTCCTCAATTTGAGGTATAAATATCAATTTTACAAAATCCCTAGTTTCTACTCAAAACCTCAATTTTTACTCTATGAATCTTAGATTTGATAGAAAATTTGTGAAAAAGTAATGTAAATTGAATGACAAGTTAAAGTTAAGTTGAGAAGAAATTTCTCTCCAAAAATCACCTTTACAGAGTCTAGATCTCAAAAATGGTATAAAATGAGCTAAGTCCCGAAATTTCCAATTTTTACCCAGCTGCAGATATCGCAATTGTGAATTCTTGTTTGTAATTGTGATATTCGCAAAAGTGCCCAGTGTCTGAGCCTCCCAGATGTCGCAAATGCGACAAAATCTTCACATTTGCGCAAGTCCAACCCCTCGAAAAAGCGACCCAAGTTTCGCATATGCGAAACTGCTCCCAAGTCTCCCAGTGTTGCAATTGTGATGGGCTTTTGCGACCAGCCCATCGCAATTGCGATGCCCGCCCATTCGCAAAAGAGGGCTTGACTTTGCAAAAGCGAGTGCCCAGCCTTCCCTATCGCAAATGCGAGCATTGTCTCGTAAATGCGAGGCTCACATTTGCGAACAGGTCCTCCCAAATGCAAGACTTGCAGGCAATCAACACCAGAAATTCTCACTTACGAGCACAAAATCGGTGTATAAAATTTAAGCTCGCTAGTCAAAGATAGTATAGTATTAGATCGTCTCCACAGGGATTGGTTTAGATAATGTTCTAATAAATCTCAGCTTAACACTATCCAGGAAAATAAACCTTTGATTTAGGTTATTACCGACTAATAATAAAAACTAAGATTATCGATTATGAGAAAATAATGGAAATTTAGTGACTAAGTAGCAACGATTTGAATATCAAGGTGCGAAGTAAGGGCTGTGACAAGATATGTGATCAACTATTAATCTGGGTACCTCCGTGCTAAGTTCACTCTTAACTTCTATTTACTCTTTCGATTTTAACAAATGATTAGGCTATCTTGAGGATTCAAATTCTTCTTCCGAATGAATGAGAGTTTCGTTAACCAACCAAATGACAGGTCCTATGAACACATGCAAAAATACAGTGAATGAATGATCTTTCAAAGAACGTCTTTCGACTATTCTTCCAAATTGGGTCAATTGATAACTCTCTAAGCTTTTTCGATTACCTATGATAGGCGTATAATCAACCCAAACAAGATAACACAATGCGAATTGCAGCAACACTTCTCTTTCGATTAAAGTAAAACGACAATTGGCATTGCCATTCGATTAATAACTCATTCAACGAATTCAGGCAACTAACGTAGAGTAAACCCCAAACAACAGTCAAATCACAATATTTGTCAATAACCCTAAGATAGATTACTCCATAGTGGAGAAGTTGTTTATCACAAGAGAATTAGAAGAACAAGAAGACATTACAATTCCCAAAATCAACCAAACTTCCGTATTGAATGAATTGGATGAAGTATTTAGAGTCTCCGTTGTTTCCTTGCCTTCTTCTCTCCAAAAGTTGCTCCAAAATCCGAGATACCTTGTTTTGAGATGAGATAGGCTTCATACAGGTCAAAAAGAGTTCCTTGATCAGTTCGAATTCTCTGAGGCACTCTACATCGAATACAAATTTCACATCCTTGGCAAGTAATGATGTTAAGGGCTTGGTAATGCTGGAGAAATTCTTGATGAACCTTCTAAAAAACCCTGCATGCCCCAAAAAACTTCTGATGCTCTTCACTGACGTCAGTAGTGGAAGCTTAGCTATCACATCTACTTTAGCTCTGTCGACCTCAATATCTTCAGCTGTGACTTTATGGCCCAAGACTATCCCTTCCTTAACCATGAAGAGACACTTTTTCCAGTTGAGTACTAGGTGAGTGTCCTCACATCGTTTCAGAACAAGTTCGAGATTCCTCAAGCAATCCTTGAAGTCATCTCCATATAGAGCAAAGTCATCCATGAACACCTCCAGAGACTTCCCATTCAAATTTGAAAAGATTGACATCATGCATCTCTGAAATATAGCTGGTGCATTGCACAATCCGAAAGGCATTCTCCGGTATGCAAAGATTCCGGAAGGGCAGGTAAAGGTGGTTTTCTCAACTTCTTCGGGAGCAATGGGTATTTGATTGTACCCTGAATATCCATCTAAGAAGCAGTAACATCCATACCCTGCCACCTTCTCCAACATCTGATCAATGAAAGAAAGAGGGAAGTGATCCTTCCTTGTTGGATCATTTAGCCTTCGGTAGTCTATGCACATCGTCCAACCAGTAACAATTCTAGTAGGAATTAGCTCGTTGTCCTCGTTTTTCACCACCGTCATGCCCCTTTTTTTCGGCACAACCTATACGGGGCTGATCCATTGGCTGTTAGAGATGGGATATATGCATCCAGCAATTTGAGTATCTCCTTTTGCACCACCTCCTCAAGGTTTTTATTCAATTTGCACTGGGGCTACACTACCGGTTGTCACACCTCCTTTTTTCCGAGGGAATAGGGGAGTTTTTCCAATTAAAGTGACATTAATCGAAATGAGATTATTTATTTTAATTCAGAGTTGCCACTTGGAATAATATTATGGTGTCCCAAGTCACCGGTTTATTTTAAATCTCAAATCGAGGAAATTTGACTCTGTTTAAAAAGTCCGCGAAACCAAAAGATCGGGTAAGGAATTCTGTTAATCCGGGAGAAGGTGTTAGGCATTTCCGAGTTCCGTGATTTTAGCACGGTTGCTTTTAATCATACCTGGGTTAATTAAATTGTTTAATTATATATTTTAGAACCTATGTACTTTTACCCTTTTACCGCTTTTAATTAAGGCGTTATGGATTTATCTTCGAAACGGATCACATGTGTGTGAATCCGCTTTATTTGGATGTCAAAAATAATGTCACGCATACGTGTACAAAATTAATAACATTTTATTAAGATTAAGGTTGTTTCGTCCAAAGTTGCGCGAAAGCATACCTTGGTTTTAATTTTGAAAATCGTAATTATGTCACGCGAACGTACACATAATCACGATGATTTGATTAAGAGCGTGCTTAAAGCGCGACAAAAAATATTTGATGTCCATTAATTTATAAAGGATGGGCTAATTTGTGAATTTATTGAGAATGGGTCACAACAAAAGTGGCACAATCGGGCATGGGCAGAGACATTCTTGGCCCAAATTGTATTGAAGGCCTTCTTTTCTTTCTCGATTAAATCTTGCAGAGAAAGCCTTTTGTGCTAAGCTCCAAATCTAGCCTATTTCATTTTGGCCCCAACCATTTACAACATAACCAATTTTGCCACTTTAGCCCTTTACTTAATTTATAGCCATAGCTAATTATTGTCAATATTAGAATACTACTGTTATTTATCTCTAATAAAGCATAGCAACAGAAAGTTGAAACTCACTCTAAACATTAAACTAAATAAAACTTTCAATCAAGTAAATTTTATCATATTTTTGCTAAGAACGTTAACACACTAAAAATGGCAGGCTAATCTTATGCAAGTATTGAACTGAGAATTTAAAGAAGATGCATTTATTTATTCAAAATATTGGCAAAGTAAAAAGAAACGGACCTTCACTGGTAGAAAACCATCTTCAATGTATTAACAAAGAGAAATCCAAGTCAAAATTTGTACAATAGCAATGACCGTTCAATTAGGAAAACTGAAATTTGACAACAACATTGGAATCGGAAATGCGAACAAGACCTCGGCCGAAAACCTTCCCAACTCGAACGGATTTTCGGAACTCGAACTTCGATTGCCTCGATTGTCTACTCGTTCACTATTATACTCTCTATCAGTCTATCTTCTTCGATTTTCCTTCCTCCGTTTTTACCCATTCTATCACTGCTGCTTTCTCCAAAATTTTTCTGTCCGTCCCCCTCTCTTTAGGTGTGTCCTCTTTTTTGTGTGTGACTTTGTGTGTTTATATCCAGAGGAATGAGGGAGAAGAAAACGAGTTGGATGGAGACTGGTGGTGTGAGTTGTGAGAGTGCGCATGTGAGAAATTTCAAAGTTTGTTACTAAGGATAAGAGAGAATCTTGGACATGTGGCAATTCTTGTTTGGCTCTTTTTTTTTTTTTGGTTGATTTTCTTTTCTTGATAAATAACTAAATAAAAACAAAACATACTCCTACTAAACTAAAAAATAGCAATGTAAAATTACTACATACTCAATATCTTATTTATTAAAGCCTCTAACTTAGAAATTAAATTAAAACAGACGTAAAATATATTTTTTAAAACTTTTCTTTCTTTGCAAATGAAGATAAAACTTATACTAAAAATGTGACTTTTTTTTAAAATTATTTTTCAATTTTCTTAAGTAAAACCTATAAAAGGAGAAATAAGAGCTAAAATATATAGATTAAACTTAAAATATATTTACATACTAAAAAGTGATGAAAATTTAAATATAGTCAAAAATTTGGTGCTCACACCGGTTTGCTCCCTTCTTCCAACATGATCTTGTGCATGCAGATTGTGGGGCTGATTCCCTAAATATCAGCTATGCTCCAACCGATTGCCTTTTTATGCTTCTGCAGTAACTCCACGAGCATGTTTTCCTGTTCACCTGTCAAATCATCGACAACAATCACAAGAAAATTGTTAGTCTCCAAAAAAACATATTTCAAATGTGTTGGGAGTACTTTCATTTCCAGCTTCGGCTTGATCTTTTCTTTCTCCAATTCTTCTTCGTCTACCACCTAGTTCTCATCTTCCAGTACCTCAACTTTCTTCTTGATCTCAGGATCTTCATCCTCTACCGTACCTGATTGACTAATGTATCTTTCTAATGAATCGCCTACCAGCTTGTCTAACTTGTGTTGTTCAGCTAACTTTCCCACCACATCCAGTTTGAAACAAGCATAGGCAGATGCCTCATCACACGGGTATTTCATCATTCTTTTCATTTGAAATACCACTTTTTTCTTTCCTTCTCGTAGCATGAGTTGACCCTCATATATATCAAGAATAGCCCGGTCAGTGCAAAGGAATGGTCTCCCCAGGATTAGAGGTACCTCCTTATTCACTTCCATGTCTACTACGATGAAGTCTACAAGGAAGACAAATTTGTCCACCCTTACCAGAATGTCCTCAATTATGCCCTCCGGTATGATCGTGGTCTGATCAGCCATTTGCAAAGATACCGACACAGATTTGATCAGGACTAGTTCTCCTTCCAATTTCTTGAACACTGATAATGGCATCAAGTTAATGGATGCACCTGAATCGCACAAGGCCTTGTCAAAATTTTTGCTCCCCAATGAGCAGGGTATAGTAAAATTGCCAGGATCCCCACACTTTTGAGGAATTTTGTTTTGTAGAATGGCACTGCATTAGGCATTGAGTTTGACCACTTTTGAGGAAAGGGTAACATTAGCATGTTCTTGCTTTCCTCAACTGCGTTGCTTAATTTCTGCTTATGAACCTCCTTGCCACTAATATCCTCCTTAGGCGGAGATTCACCAACTTTCTGTTCTTCGTATATCTTCGTTGAGTTAATTTCCTTCTCAGCCCTTTGGTTTTGCAATCGACTCTACTAATATTTTTTCAATCCTGAGAGACACAACCTTGATCGTCTCTTTTGGGTTCTTCTCAGTATTTGCCGGCAAAGTCCCCGGAGCCCTTTCTGATAATAATGATGTGAGCTGCCCCATTTGTCTTTCTAGATTCCCGATGGATATGCCTTGCTCCCGGATAGCTGTTCCTTGAGTCTCAAGTTTTTCATCTGATTTATTTATGAATGCCTTCATTAGATCTTCTAAACTTGAGTTGTTGCGCTGTGGAGGCTGGTACGGTTGCCTCTGTTGGTTCTGGAAGCCAAGAGGTCCTTACACTGGTGCTCTGGGATTTTGCTGCTGCCATGAGTTCAAGCTGCCATTTGAAGAACTCCATGAGAATCCCGGATGTCTCTATCCTATAGAATTGAAATTACTACCGCCTTGGTAGTTGCCTCTGTTGAAATTCCCCAATGCCTTAACTTTTTCTTCTGCGGTGAAGGTTTGGCACTCATGAGTTGGGTGTCCTAGTCCACAGATACCATATCCCACCTGTGGTTGATTTTCAACCTGAGCTATCGTCAGTTGCTTGATGTCCTTAGCCATAGCTGCAATTTGGGCCTGTATTGCTACAGATGATTCTACTTGGTGCACCCCCGCTGATCTTTTTCGATCCCCTTGGTCAGTGGACCATTGTTCTGCGTCTTCAAATAGTTCATTCAGAAGTGTGACAATCTCTTCTGGAGTTTTCTTCATCAGAGGACCTTGCAACCGCACTATTAAGCAATCTCCTTGATGATGAGTAACCCGTCCCAGAAATGTTGGAGTTGCATCCATTGCTCCATTCCCTTATGAGGGCACCTCTGCAATAGCTCCTTAAATCTTTTTCATGTCTCAAACACTGTTTCCCCTTCACCTTGGCTGAAATTGTGAATCTCCTTCCTCATCTTTCCAGTCTTAGTAGTAGAGAAATATTTTTCTAAGAACTTGGTGGTCATCTCCTCCCACGTACGGATGGACTCTGTGGGTAGACTTCTCAACCATTGCTTTGCATCATCCTTAAGTGAGAAAGGGAATGCTCTGAGGTAGATGGCATCATGTGATGCTCCATTATAGCAGAATGTATTCATAATTTCGTCGAAGTCCATCAGATGGTTATTAGGATCTTCATTGGGTTTGCCTCTGAATATGCAGATGTTCTGAATGGTTTGGATGACTCCCTGCTTGAGTTCAAAATTGTTGGCATCAATGGGTGGGGGCCTCACACTAGATTTCTTCTGGTTGTACACTGGTCTGGCATAATCTCCTAGAGACCTCCCAGGCCTAGGAGCTGCATCTTCAAATTCATCTTCAACCATGGTTCGTTTGAGATTGTACCTTCGATCCTCGTCGACTGTTTCATCTGCAGCTCTACAGGCTGCTTCAGCTGCTAACTGTGCATCCTATTGTTGAGCTGCCCCTCTCGTAGCTAGGTTCACGTCCTTTTCATTATTCACCATTGTATTTTGAGTCGAAATCTGACCCAACAATGATCCTCTTGATTCTTTCTCCCTTCTCAACTGTTGCAAGTGCTTGTCTAATTCTGGATTGTATGGCACCAATTCCTTGGAAGACGATCGAGTCATACACCACTGAACTTAACCTGTTACCTCCACACAGATAAGAAGAGCGTAAAAAGGGAAAATAAAATAAAATAAAATCATTCCTGAATTAGCACTGAAAATTATTTCAAACAATATTAATCGCCAATTCCCGACAACGGCGCCAAAATTTGACGAGTGTAAAACCCGTGTATAAAACCTAGGCTCACTAGTAAAAAATAGTACAGTATTAGATCGTTTTCACAGGGATTGGTTTAAATAATGTTCTAATAAATCTCAGCTTAACACTATCCAGGAAAATAAACCTTTGATTTAGGTTATTACCGACTAATAATAAAAACTAAGATTATCGATTGTGAGAAGATAATGGAAATTTAGTGACTAAGTAGCAACGATTTGAATATCAAGGTGCGAAGTAAGGGTTGTGACAAGATATGCGATCAACTATTATTCTGGGTAACTCCGTGCTAAGTTCACTCTTAACTTCTATTGACTCTTTCGATTTCAATAGATGATTAGGCTATCTTGAGGATTCAAATTCTTCTTCCGAATGAATGAGAGTTCCGTTAACCAACCTAATGACAGGTCCTATGAACACATGCAAAAATACAGTGAATGAATGATCTTTCGAAGAACGTCTCTCGACTATTCTTCCAAATTGGGTCAATTGATAATTCTCTAAGCTCTTTCAATTACCAATGAGAGGCATAAAATCAACCCAAACAAGATAACATAATATGAATTGCAGAAACACTTCTCATTCGATTAAAGTAAAACCACAATTGGCCTTGCCATTCGATTAATAACTCATTCAACGAATTCAGGCAACTAACATAGAGTAAACCCCAAACAATAGTCAAATCACAATATCTGTCAATAACCCTAAGAAAGATTACTCTATTTTAGCAGGTTGTGGAGATTTCCAGGAGCTTAGAGCGTACTCGGGGTGAGGACATGGAGGATAAGGAGTCCAAGAGGTCTCGAGGTTCTGGAGGATTCAGTGGATTCTACTCTTCAGCTATAACCCATCACGACTGAGGCTCAAATAGTCAGCCAGTCCAGTCCGTACTTCATACTATGCGTGGAGCTCCATCTAGTCATAGACTTCAGGGTACTCATATAGGGCAATCATCTTTTACTGCACCACCTGCACGAGGTTCCTGCAGTGGTTATTCCAGTTATCTGGTATAGACTTAGTACCAACAGCCATGCCCGTAGAGGGGTTATTATGAGTGTGGCGATACTAGGCATATCATGAGGGCTTGTCCCAGACTCGGGAGAGGTGGATTTCATCAGGGAACTCACGTTATGGGATCCATTCCAATTGCTACTCCACTTGCACAACCAGCTTTGGGTGGTGGACAGTCGGGTAGAGGGCGTCCTAAGGGGGAGGCTCGGCCCGTTGATATGCTTTCCATGGTAGGGCTGAGGGGATGCTGCACCAGATGATGTCATTACAGGTATGGTTTCGGTTTGTCATAGAAGAGCATCAGTCTTATTTTGAATCTGGTCCTATTTATCAGTGTGAGTTCTTTTATCTTGCTCCATATATGGATATGTTTTGTGATTCTTATACTCTACTTATGCATTTACCCTGTTGAGAGATTCTATAGTGGTAGCCCATGGCTATCGTTTCGGTTTGTTCACTATTGAGAGCTATGAGACTAGAATGAACTTTCTATTACTCATTACGGTAGGTTTTGACGTGATTTTTGGATGGTTTGGTTATGATTTTTGATTAAGTGCTCTACCAGTATGGTAAGTTCGTTACGTGTTGTAATATTATTTTGCGAAATTAAGTTAGTGGAATATTTCGGTTGGTGTGATGTGTATTCTACATGTGATTAAGAGTTAAGGGTGGGATCCTCGTATTTCTGAGTGGA